TTACAGCAAAGTTCAAGATAAGCCAGGCGCATGCGCAGATATATGTTTCACTGAGATAGTTGAGGTGGACTTTTTTGAGGGACTCCTATATTGATCTTTATTAGATGGATTTTTGGAGGCATGTGCGAGCTTATATTTTATTTCTACTTGGATGTCACCTGCTCCTAGATACTTTAAACTTTGAGATTCATTTTTAGTACTTGCCATTGATGGAGGATATAGCGATATTCAGGACATACTCACTTGGAGATGCAGCTCTAGCTCATTTATACAGGGAGCTGTTTGAAGCAACTAGACCAAAACAAGCAAACATAGTAGGGTGTATCCACTTATTGCATATATGGGCTTGGGAGCATCTACATTTCAATTAGTGGATGCACCCTGCTATGTTTGCTTATTTTGGTCTAGTTGCTTCAAACAGCTCTCTATACAAATGAGCTAGAACTGCACCTCCAAGTGAGTATGTCCTAAATATCGCTATATCCCCCATCAATGATAAGTACTGTAAATGAATCTCAGAGCCTAAAGTATCTGGAAGCAGGTGACATCCAAGCAGAAATAAAATATAAGCTCATACATGCCTCCAAAAATTCATCTCATAAAGATCACTATAAGAGTCCCTCCAAAAAGTCCACCTCAACCATCTCAATGGAGCACATGTCTGCATATGCGCCTGGCCCATCATGAACTTTGCTGTAATCCGCGGATTGAAGGAGTCATGATACAAAATATCAGGGTCCGGATGCCGGCCAAGTAAATCATCACAATAATTCGGCCAACTCAACCATCGTCTGTTTGAACCAACAACTCGGTGTCCAACAAAAGAAGGTTCATCAATCCATATCCCCAATATTATCAACACATCCTGCAATGTAATACTCATTTCACCAACAAAGAGATGAAAGTATTCGTTTGTGGCGACCACCTCTCAACTAGAGCTGTAAGTAAGTGATGATCCATCCTCCTGTACCTCATCTGATTGATATTATCCAAACCCAAAAAAACCAAAGCCTCCATAAACCTAGGACAATTGATGGACCACTCTTGCACCTTTAATAAGTGTGAAGCAGTCTCCAATATAGTACCCTGTAAAGAATAATATTGTTAAGAGATTTGAGATCATTTATTTGAACATAAATTAATTACTAATTTATATAAATTTATTTTCTCAGGATGAATTGCTCGGTGGTTGCCTGCATGTGAAGAAATGCTAGGCTGGATGGTATATACAGATGGCTGTGTGGATGCCTTCATACTAGAAGGGCGCCTGTGGCGCCCGTGTCCCGTATCTTATGTGACCGCCATAAAATCTGGTAGGAAAAAAAATGTTAGGCATGTATAAATAATATAAATTTTCAATGACATTCACAAAACATAATAATCTAAACAACAAATAAAAAGCTAATGACTTATTCAAAACAATATCACATATCACATATAATTGTAACAAAATTTTAATTCGATCTACAAATTAAGCACATTTATATAAGCATAAAAAATGTATGGAAAGCTTTCTTGATATGAAAAATAAATAACTTAAAGCTCACATAGTAGGACAAGTTGCTTTGTTATGTCCTACTAAGCCACATGCACTACATTTTCTATTATGTGTACCTCTTCCCTCGTCCATTATATTCTTAAAACAAATTGTATTAGGTCGCCCAGAGCGTCTTCTAAAATTTGGGGGTAGGAGTGGGTGTATGCCACTTGCTGGATCATGTTGTGCCCAAGTGGATCGATCAGAAATATTATAAAATTGTCCAGCATAAGTCATCTTGTAATTGTCTAAGCTGTAGTATTGTGAGACATAATTGTAGTGACTTTACCTTAGCATAGATTTGCAACTAACTACGTGTGCGCACGGGATTTGATATATAATACTCTTCCCACAACTACAAATACAATTTTTATTGTCTACTAAATCAACCCTGAAAGACCGATATGACATGTCAACCACTTAAAACTCACGCATATTGATTCGAATGGACTGTGGTAACCTACATGCTTCTTGCTCGATCATTCGTAGTGTTGCTTGTACTTTTTGTGCGAATGGTCTGATTGCATAAATTTTAGAACCCTCTAGCATCTCTATTTTTCTCAAGTGCAATGCTATAACATTATAGTATATTATTGTAACCAACATTTGAATAGACAAACCCCTAGCTCGTTTTAGAACTTCATTAAATGAATCTGATGCATTAGTTGTCATAACTTCATAGCGAAATTCACCATCAGAAGTTAGAGCCCACGATATAACATCACGCTTCACCAACCATTAGTGAATATCAGCCTTCACCTTTATCATATCTTTCATACACCTATAAAATACCATTGGGTCATCAGTGTTCTCGGCTTTGTACATCTTGTGGCATAGAAACTCAATGTCACCAACACCTATTCGACGTACTGATTTTTAAAATTTTCACGTTGGTGACGAAGGCAGTGACGATGTGCAGCATTTGAAAAAATTTCACGACAACCTCGCACCAAACCAGCATGCCTGTCGGAAATAATGTATAAATCAGGTCGGGTACTAACAACTGTAAGTAGTATATGCAACTTGCTCAGAAACCACACCCATGAATCAACACATTCTAATTCTACAATTGCGAAGGCGAGGGGGTACAATCTATTGTTAGCATCAATTCCCACAGCGGTTAGTAAAGTGCCTCGATATTTACCTAGTAGGAATGTGCCGTCAAGGCAAAGAATAGGGCGACAGCAGCTCCAACCATTTATTGAAGGTCTAAATGAGAAAAATAATTTCTCAAATCTATGATTCTCAGACGTTTGTATCTTATAAACGGCGCCAGGCATTGAAAATACAGCAGTGTTCATGAACAAATTTATGGTTCGTTAAGACTCCTCCCAGCTACCAAACACTATTTTCACAGCTTTTTGTCTGGCATCCAAAGCTTTCATATATGAAACTTTTATGTTGAACTTTACTTCAATTTGACCTATAATCTCTCGCTGCTTGAGATCCATATGCCTTCTGATACTGGGCAATATAAAGTAGCTTATAAATTGAGAATTACATTGTCTATGTCCAGTCGCTAGAATCGGAGTTGTGCAAGTATGTTGGTTCTTCATGGAAGATATTTTCAATATGCGTCCTAGACATTTGCTCACCCTTGCATGCAAACGCCATATACATGGTATGTCTGACCTGCCACTATGAGCACAAACCACTGTAATTTCTGTCTGTTCGAAACTACAATGACATACTCCACATTATTTATTATTGAACAACCTTGTAATACGAACTAAAGATCCTCTTTTTTGGTAAAGCACATACCCTCCATAAAGTCTATTGGAATTGAAAATTCATCCTCGACTTGGCTACCAAAATAATCCCTATTATTTGCTACATCTTCATCCCATTCTCTAGTTGATGAATGTCTTCACAAACTCATTGTTTACAGTTATTTCTTCTATAATACCAACATTCGTGTAACAATAACGTTGGACCATGCTATGAATTTCAGGATTCATATCAACATTCACTTCATCTAAACGATATTGTGCGTTATCATCATCATCAGGACTTGGATCGCTCGATCCACTACTCATCGTTTCGTAACCATCATCAATATTGACCGATGGTCCCTCGGAAGTTCCTGGAATGTCACGGCAAAAACATCTTTGACGTTCACTCCATCACGTAAACTATATTTTTTTAACAAGAGGAAATTTCTCATACAATAATAATTTATGTAATACACATTAAAAATTCATAAACGAGAAACTTACTGTGGACATTGCAGAACAAGACTTGGATTGGTCGAACCGCCTTCTGTAACCCCGTCAAAATTATATGTCTCATGCACTTGAGATGTTATTTGCTCAACAACTAAATTTTATGCAGCAAAATCTTCGACCTCTACATAAAGTAGAAGTATATGCCCAATTGCATGTGATAACACTATTTGACATACCTCATCATCCTCGATAATCAAAGATATGAACTCATTCCCTAAGGGCAGACGACAAACCAAGTTTATTGTGTACTTCGATGTATCATATTTAAGGGCTTTCAGAATCATAATCTTCAGTTGCGCTACGTTCATCTTAGTAGACACTTGCAAGGGCCGGTTTCTCCGCCCAATATATGTTGGTGAATATTTATCATATAAAAAAAATTGTCCACCATACATAAGGACAAACGATACTCCCCGTCCAGACATTGTGGAATACTACGTATCAATAATGATATCTTATACAAAATTTTATTTTCAAAAATTTTGTAACATATCTTTACAAAATATAATAGCATTTACATTGCAAAAAAATAAAAAAATAATATGGTTTTGCAGTCACATTACTCCATCTACGATTGTTTGTATTATAAAAAATAATTTTATTTTAGAAAATATATTTAAAATATTATTTTGAAAATATAAGTTTTTTAAAAATTTCTTTTAATCCCTCAAACTTCCTCAGACTCTAATGATTACAAAAATATATTTACCCAAACAAATCGTAGCAACAACAAAGTATTATCCACAAATCAAAATTTTCTTCAATCTTTAGCAATGAAAAAACACATCTCACACACAAATCTTAAGTCTTAGCACTAAATCACACCTAAAATTTCAACATAATACACTCTAATGAAGAAAGCTACTAAAGGAATGCAATTTAAACAAAAAAAAAAGAAATTACAAAGAAACTTACTCGTCGGCTCTGCTCTTCGTTCGCGAACTCCCTTTCCCGTCGGTTGCTCTCGTTCGCGAATTTAAGGCATAAACTGATGAGTCGGGAGGGGATAAAGTAAATAGGGTAAGTTAAACGGGTGACTTATCCTATTCAGTATGTCGCCCATTTAACGGACGGCTTTGGCGAGTTTTAAATTTTTTTAAAATGTTGGTTAATCGTTTAAATATGATTAAAACGATACTTAGTTTTAAAAATTGCCCCTTAATATTTGACAAACATTTAATTGGTATCATTTCTTTAATACAAGTATGAGTAATCCGTTCTCCACCTTGATTTTTCAGGGTTGAGAGCCTTCCGTTGGATGAACTCAGTGACATTTACCTTCTTGATTTCATTGGGGCTTCTGGTTTTGTTGCAGAAGTTTCATCAAAAGTTGACAGGTTTGTCTATTGACACCCATACACCTTTTGTTCATGCAATCTATAAGCTTTATTCTTGAAATATGCTAATGAGTGTTGTTCTGTGGGAGTAAATTTAAGTTCTGTATACTAGTTTCAGAGGCACTTATTCAAACTATCAAGTTAAGGGAACGAGCGAGGCTCAATTATTAGTTAGTAAATTTGAACTGATACATTATTTTACCATCTGACACTTAGTTCAGTGATCTCACATATCTCAGAAGATCTAATTATCTTCCTCTGATGAAACATTCTATGTCAGTCATCAATTTCCTTTAAAAGAAAACTTTTTGATTCAATCCAATTTCATATGTAGCTATCTTATTATGGGCTCCAACATGAATAATCAAGTTTTTTCATAATGGGTGAGTAGCTCAGACACAATAAGAGCCAAAAAATTGCATTGATTAATTGATCGTTGTTGAACCATTTTATATAATTCGTAGTCAGGAAATTTGGCACCTGGGGACCAAGTTGTGTCTGATAAATTTGTGGCAACATACCTTTTATATCCAAAGTCCGAAGTCAGTAAGTCATTATTTTTCAGCTATTTAATGTGATTCCAAAGTGTCTTAGCACAATACTGACAATACTCTCACCTGTATATTCAGGGATTGTAACTTTTGTATTGTTGCTATATTATTAGCATGCCAAAAAAAAAAAAATCAAATTCAAGCCCGTAATTATTGCTGTTTAAAGTGATTTTGGTACACACTTGAGTATTTCTAAATCCATCTTGTTTCTTGGCAATATTTCTATGATTAATCACTCCAACTTGTTTTCTTGTCAGGAATAATCTTTACCTTTTCTCTTCTCCTTTTCATTTTTTTATGTTTCACTCCAGTTTCACAATATTGGAACACCATAAGACGTCTTTGGAGACTATTTCTGGAAATGTATCTGTTTTGAGAAACGTGTCTCATGTAATATATATATGGATAGACGTGGGCCTTCAATTACATATGATTAATTTAATGAGAAACTTATTAGATTGAATATGATTACAGTTGAGTAGTTCTAAATCCAGCATGTTTTCTTTGCAGATTTCCTATGATTAATCACTCCAAATACCTTTTCTCTTCTTCTTTTCATTTTTTATGTTTCATTTCAGTGTCACAATATTGGATCACCATAAGACAGCTTTGGATACTATATCTGGAAATGTATTTGCTTTGAGAAATGTGTTTAATGTCATAGATGTGGATAGAAGTGGGGCTACAATTGCATATGATTATTTTAATGAGAAACTTATAAGAAGAGGTATTTCATTGGGGAATCATGGCGGAGTATGTAATGGTAAATTCTTGCCAGAAAACAAGGTTGAAAAGGTTCAAAGGCTTTTCAAGTTTATTGAAGATGGAGATCTTTGGAGATGGGAACTTCCTCATAGTAAAGCTTTCAGCAGTGGTCTAGCAGATATGAAAATTGAGTACAATGTCAATGTTAATTCGTCTTTATTTGATCTGGTAAAAAGTTTATGAATTTTTTTTTTCCTGCTTTGATATGTGGTGACACTCTAAAATTTTCAGTTAATGGGTTTAGATCCCGAACTTGTCATCAGCCATGGCAAAGAGACTCTTGCACACAAACAAAAGTTAATAGATTCAGCTCTTGATCAGTCCTATGAAATTGCGCTGGGATGTGGACTGTTTGGTCATTGCCTGGTATGAATATCTTATTTACATATTTTTGTACTTTTGATATAGCTAGTTGATTTAACATAGTCAGAGTGTGAAACTTACATGATAATGCTATATGTAATTGGTTAATGTATTCATTGTGTTGCACAAAACAAATATGAGTGGAGAAAGGGGATTCATAATGCTATCTCCAATTATTTTTTATGCGAAGAAGATGGTGATAAACTCTCAAAGAAAACATATCTAATTAGTATAATCTCCTAGCATGCTCAAACCTTGAACACCCCTAAATGAAGGTCCATATAGAACTCTGAGTGCCTCATTTTTGTAAGTTTTTGAAAAAAGGAAAAGAAGAACCCTTGTGTGTTATTCTCCCACCTTCTTCCTCTTGGTTAAGAATCATGCAGATTCCTTGATTGCATTTTAGGCCACTAGTTCTCTTGTTTAGGAGTGTTAGTCTCCCCTCATTTTGTGATACCCCTTACAATGGCTTGAGTTGCCCACCATAGTAAGTAGTGGTTGTAGTTTCCTGATTTTCTTTCGCACACAACACCCCATTGTAAATAATGGCTAAAGAGAGTCTTTTGGCACCCTGGCGACTTTCTTCTTATGTTAGTTTATCACATGCTTTGTGGACAATATCTCCTTTCTGGCTTTCTCCAATGAAGGAAGAAAATGAATTGTCTCCCTGATTGTAGGACAATCAGGGTGGTGCATCATACTCCCAAAAACCTTGCATAACCTCTAAAGTGATGGCTATGACATTCTTCAATATGGTTGTTGCTATGGGGTTAAACAAGTCAAGTCGAGTCGAGTATTTACTTAATCAAGCTTGTTTAGTTCTTATTGAGCTCGAGCTTGACTTATTAAAAAATTTGTAGGTTTGAGCTCTGCTTAATTGCTCGAGATCGCTTGGAAAGCTCAAGTTTGACTCGATTATTAAGCTTGATTTCTTATTTTTAAATAAATAAATAATTTTTTAAGGTTTTTTTAATATAGAATTAATTTAAAATTGTTAAAATATATTATATAATGCTAACTTAAATTATTTTTTAAATATAATTTAAGTAAGTTGAGCAGCTCAACGAGCTTTCAAGTCGAGCCAGATTGAGCTTGAGCTCAAGCTTGCTTAATATACGAGCTTGAGTATAGGCTCGAGCTCGGACTCGTGGCTCGATAAGTTAGACTCGTCAGCTCGTTAACAAGTTGAGCTTGAGCCGGCTTGTGAGTCGACTTGACTCATTTGGAAACATAAATGAGATCTTATCGAGTCGAGCTTATTGAGCCTTGTTAAACCCATTTTATTGAGCTCAAAAAGTATTTTAATTTAACAAACTTTTAAAATAATCTTAAGATCCCATCCGACAATATTTGCCCGAAAGATTCAGCAATCATCCAAATCAGTACCCCAAAAGGGGTTAAAACTCATGTAATGTGGCTCTTTAAATGACACTATGTTAATTCTCTAAGTGATATGGGATTAAATCCATATTGCAGCTGTAATGGCTAATGGGATTATATGTGGTCCACTATGCACATGAAATAGTTGCACGCGGAGGAGCTTTGGAAATAACGTGAAAATAATTTAATTGATGCAGAAACAGTGTGAAAGCCTATATTAAAATGATGATGTAATTTAATAGAAAGCATTAACTTGTAAGGGAATTATTGATTTTCCTTTAGTTCTTGTTGCAGGCTAGAATATTTGTGGCGGTAAAGTACAAAATTTCACGTCTTAGCATTGCACGAGTATCCAGCTCACAAAGAGAGAGAGAGAGAGAGAGAGAGAGAGAGAGAGAGAGTATAAAGACCAGAATATTTTTATGTGGAAAACCCCAAAGGAAAAAATCATGGGGTCACGCCCAGTTGAAATGAATCCACTAGTGTTTGAATAGATTACAAAAGATTAATTCATTTTTGAAGTTGAGGACAATCAGATTACAACAGTCAACTGTCGGGTTGAAATCTAGCGACGAACATGGATCAGACAGAAGTCCGACGACGGTTTGTGGCTAGGCGTAAATCTGACGTTAGTTTGTAGCTGAGAAGATCAAGGGCATGTAGGGAATGCTTTCAATAGACAACCGATATTGATTCCCTTGATATAGACTATTTATTGAGTATTGAAGTGTCTTAATGATATCAAAATTCGGCTGTCTTGGGCTCGTTGGATTTGTCTCGTCGAGCCGCTCGATTCGATTATAAGCATGTCACGTTTGGAAACCGTTTGGTCATCCAATTTATGGTTTGAAACTTCCAAATGCACTATGGGTCTTCGATTTGGATCCATTTGGGCTTGGATCGGTTTGAATTCGGTGTCGTTTTGTTCATCTTTTAGAGATGTTCAGTTCGACTATAAGTTTGCTGAAATCGGAGTTTGGATGGTCTCGGATTTAATTTTGGAAGTTTCCAACTCAAATTTGCCTCCAGATTTGTTCCCGATCAAGATTAATTTTTTATTTTATATCAATTCTATAAAAGGATTTATTTAGTTTATAATAGTTAAAATCTTATCTATTTTTTAGATAAAGAAAGTTTTTTTTAATTGTAAATTAGATTTTATTTAAATTAAACTTTTTTTATTTATAATTTTACATTAGATTTAAACTCTATGATAGATTGAGCTTTATATCGAACATTAATTGAGCTTCTTAATGAGTTTATTCACAAGCTTCAAATGATACTATTCATGATCATAAACTAATCGAGCAACAAACTGTTTAAGCTTGTTTATTTAATAATCAAGTTTTTATATTAATGCTCAAATTTATTCAATTTTTTTAATCAAATGATCTTGAGCAAGCTCTAATCAAGTAGAATCATGAATAACTTGTTGAACACTCAGTTCAGCTGCAGCCTTTCTCTTGGATACCAAAGAATCACACTTCTTTGGATGATGATAGCTGCAACTTCTTTGGACAACAACATGGATAGCTTCTAGATCAACAAAGATGGTTGTGGCTTACGGAGTGACAACTTTTGCCTACATAGTTGTGGTGGACTCTTGTTATTCTCGCTGCTTACATTCTGTGTGGAAAGCTGAAGGTTGCAACGTGTTAACTACGAATAACAAGAATTCTGAGGCATCAGTTGGCATAACTGATTAGATGAGTTAAATACTCTTACACACGCGCGCACACACATATACATACACACAAGAGAGAGAGAGAGAGAGAGAGAGAGAGAGAGAGTTTTGCAACTATGTCTGGTTCAAATAGTAATTAAAACATTGATAGTAAATATATATTTTTATTTGACTATGCAAAATGATACTATATTCATATAGTGATAATAAACATTGTAACTTCTATTTAATTTATGTTATTATATATAATTTGCATTATTTTTTTCTGCATCCACCTTTATGTAATGAGAAAATGCATGAGTTTGATATTGATGCATTTGGAGCCAAATTAACAGTTTTGCATTGTATTATTTGCTGTTGATAGGCAGTAGATGCAGATTTCATTTCAGAATTGAGGAGTGAGCTTGGACACCAGCTAGCTAACAAGAGTCGCAATTTAAATCTCAGGTCAATTTCCTTGATTGTATTGAGCTATGCTTGCTATTTAAAAAATTGAATGTTACCAACTTACCATAACTATATTATCTATCTCAAGCTGCAATTTAGGCTTCGTTTGGGACGGCTTTTTTTCTACTTTATAAAACATAGTTTTAGTCCAAATTTTTTATTTTTTTAAAATTTTTTTGTATTAAAACTCTGTTCTGTCTCAAACGAAACCTTAGTTATCTAATATCTTTAGTATTATATGAACTAACCAGCACCTTTATATACAGGAACCCTAACAGTTTAAACTCAATTTCCATTCTTTTTGTTATATTAGAATTTTGTGCTGTTCAGTTAGGAACCCTGTTTTACTGTTTAATTTCTAAGAAGATCAGGGTGAATTCGTCACTTCTGCAAAAAGAATGTTTTGCTGAAACAGGATCCATTACAGCACTGCTCTGTGCTATTTAGTCGGCATTAACGTCTGCAAATTCTTGTAAAGTAATGTGCTTTCTTTTTGTTATTTATTTCATATTTCTTCCAGGAGCATTGGAGCAGTCGTTTATAAAGTTCCTGAACTAAAAAATGACCAGCTGCTGAAAATAAGCCTCCGAAGCATAGAGTTGGAGGACACAACAGCCATATCCAAGGTCGCCTTCACCTCTGCTTAACCAGACTTGGAGAGATTATTTTGTGCGGACACCGGACACAGCTTACCATCCAGAGGCCAATCAAGTGCAGCCACATCATCTAGTATCGAGCTCAGTACCGAGCTCGGTACCAAGCAGTACCGAGTAGAGGTGATGTGACACATTTTCATTGGGCTCTGGACGACGTTCGGTGTCTGCACCTAATAATTTCACCTAGACTTGTGGCCACTGGTCTCAAGTATATGTTGAAAACTGTCATATCTTCTTGTATGTCTCTATTTTCTGCAGGAATATGGAGGGGGAGGGCATCGTAAAGCAAGCTCTTTCATTTTGAGTGCTCATGAGTTCTCGAAGTGGAAGGTTTGAGTATTTTTTTCCATGGTTCCAAGCTTATCACTGGCCCCTTGATCCCTTGATGCTTTAAGAAGTTGTTTTCGTCCGGGAAGATGATGCATTATATTAATCTTCGGAGCTTGTGAGAAAATTTATTTTCTATTTTTTGAAATCCATGACCAAGACTAGATATTTGTAATTCAAATTTATTTTTTGAGATAGAAATCATGGATGAAAACTTGTGTCAGGTTGATTGGTAGGGATTTTTTTTATCACTTAAATTTGCTTCAATTTCTTGTTAAATCCCAAGTTCTGGATGAGAAAAGTGGAAGGTTACGTTAGATAGTCGACAGCCAGTGTAAAACTTGTCGAAGAATCATGACGTAAATCTTTTAAAAATTTGTGTTATTTAACAGAACACAATGAAGAAAAATGATTCATGTAGCAGACCCTACGTAGTGGGACAAAAGTGATTTTGTTGTTGTTGTACTTAAATTTGTCTCAAGCCTGACCTTTGTAACCTAAACTTCTCTAGGTGACTAATTTTTACTTAGAAGTAAAAGTAGATAGGAATATAAATTTCATTTCTATGAAAGAAAAAAAAATGGAGATTCATTCATCCAGAATCTTGAGGTCTAGTTCACCCTTATAATTGAGAAATTAATGACTCAATGGTGACTTCTCTATTATTTTAGAAAATAACTCATTTTTAAGCTATTTCTAACATCCTTTATTGTCTAAGTATTTTTGCATCAAATATTAACTCTTTAGCCAATAAATGAGATGTTTGGTGGGGGTAGTTGGAAGTTAAGAATTAAAATAAATAGGTTGTAGATGATAGATGTGGGTTAGGAAGTGCAATTAGAATCTAATGGATCCACTTACCCTTACTATCTAATGTAACGTAATAAATGGGTTTAGGGTTATTTTTCAGGTCGGGTCTGAGTCGAGATTCAGCTTCAGTGCCTCACGACTCAATCGACAACCACTCAAGTGCTTGACCTCACGGCTTACCCCGTCATTTGTCGTTGCACACTCGTTGTCGCCCGTTTTTGAATCAAAATAGGTCCACAGGTTGGGTTGGGTCAACCCGATTACTCGCTCAGGTCTGGTCCGAGTTGAAATACTTGACCTGTTTACAAAAACGGGTTGACTCGTTTTGACTCGGGTCAACTTGGGTTCGTCAAACCCGGCCTGACGACCCGTTTTGACACCCCTAAGGAGTCACTTACCTAAAATTATGAGAAATTACCTAATTAGGGAATACTCACCCTATAGAGATTAATCTATTCATCCATATATTGGAGAATCACTCATCCAAATGAGAGGAATATCTCATTCTATTGCTAATTACATAAAGCCATTGGTGGAGAGAAGGTTAGTGAAAAGTATATTTAAATAAGTTACCTACTTCATCAACAATAGTAGTAAGAAAGTGCCATTACAATACAATGGATATATCAGCATTCTTAATTTCATCGGAAAATTCTTGATCTCAAATTTGATATTTGATGAAGCACCTACAACAGCATGCTTAATTGCTGCCTATGAAATTAGTTTAGGTTAGCCAGTTTGATTCTGATTATACGTTTTGTCAAATTTTTCATAGCATATGCCCAATAAAGTTATTTTTTTGGAGAAATCATTCTGTGCAGACACCGGACAGTCCAGAGATCAACTCGAACGCACCACGTCACCCAGTACACAGCGGTACCTAGCATCGGTGTCGAGCAAAAAAGTGAAGTGGCGTGTTCTGATTGGTCTCCGTCCGGGATCCGCATAGCATAACTTTTCATTTTTTTGAGGCTCTGAATGATGTAATTGCAAACTCACTTATAAATCTGAATAAGCAATGCATATAACTCATCATGACCTTTATGGTGGGAGTTGAAGCTCTCGGCCACAAAGTGAAAATGAGTTATTATTTAAACTAATTTCTTATTATACCACAAATATCAATAATAAGCTCGCCAAGGCAATATTTCTCGATATATAACTAGCATATTTAACTCAAAAAATAGTTATTTACTTCTATGCGCAATCTTCTGATGTTCACCAAACCCTAAAATCGTACTCACCCAAAGCTAACATCCTTTAAAGAGAAGGGAAAATTAGAGGGTCAAGTAACCAAAGAGAGAAGAGAATATTATGGGGAGGCTAGTGCCTTCCTTGCTCTCTAGAGCTCATATCCCCCTCCCTTTTCTTGTAGCGAGGAAAGAGGCATATACCCAGTGAGGGTGTTAACGTTGTCATCATGTACTAATTAAAGACGATGTAGAGATATAGAATATGATCTACATAGCAGGCCTTTAGGCAATCTAACACCAAATGTCATGTACTTTAATTTTTGATTTGAAACCCACCCGTTAGTCATTTAGTCTCTCCTTATGTATAAAGAATGTTTGAAACTTTTTTCTTCTAATTTCGATGTGTGCAAACATTCAATGCCTACTAATAATATATTTCTAACCTTATCCAGTCATTGATGTTTAATGATCGCCTGCTAGGTCATTTACTAAATGATTAAGTTGATCACCTCATAATTTCCATAACCTCCTTTCATCAACATTAGACTTTAACTAACCAACATTACCAAATATCCACAGCTAAACGATGTCAAACGCTTAATATATGTTGATATCTAACTCCTAATCCTTGTCACTATTTGCGGATTTTGTCAACGATTTCCACCATCCGTCATTGATGTTTGATACGTCATGCGAAAATTAACTTGATCGGGCACAAATCTCGAGGCAAAAATCAAGTTGGAAACTTCAAAAATTAAATCTGGGAGCACCTGAACTCCGATTTCAGCGAGCTTACAGTCAAACTGAGCGTCTCGGAAATACAAATCCAACGACATCAAATTCGACCCAATCCGAGTTTAAGTTAATATTAGTAGATATATTCTAATTTAGCAAAACCCTACAATGTTTCTCTAAAAAAGTTTCACATAAATATATCTTCTAAATATGTATAATTATATATTATTATATAAAATCTTCAAATAAAACAAAACATTGATTTTCTTTATAGATTTATATAGATTTCATAAAATTCTTATATATTTACATATTAATCATCTAAATTTCATATTTACTTATATAACCTCATGTTAAATGATATTAAAATATATCATAAAAAGTATACTTTATTTTAGGTAAAATAATATTTATATATTTTTATTTAAATTTAAAGATTAAAATGTTATAAATTAAATTTGAAATTTTAAGCAGTAGATATATAAAATATCTACAAATTAAATGCTTGCTGTTAATAATAATCATTTAAATGTTATTTCACGTTCTTTTAAACTACTTAAAGCGGCTAACAAATCCGGCAATGAATATCCAAATTCAAAACCAAAGGGTGGGGTCCACATATACTAACACTATTCGTCCACCGTGATAATTCTCACCACACATATACCATTCGCCACGTGTCTTGCTTCTCTATCACGTGCGGTTCGCTTGTTTCTTGGTATTCTGCAGAGCTGCTACGAGAGGTTGCCGTAAGTCATTCTCGTTTAGAAATTGGAGAGCGGCTGCTTTTTCCGGTCGGCGGCGGTGGAAGCGCGGGAGCCTCCGGCGACGGTTTCTGTCTTTCTCCTCTCCCTCTCTCTCACTCATAAATTAGACCAAAATCGAGAGAAAGGATTCCTTCTCCAGGAGGTTTTTCTGAGCTATTTTTTTCTTTCACTCTCACTGACCGGCGTTTCTCGTGCTTCGATTCTTTTCCACTTGCTGAAGCTTGCAGCAAGGTATCGATATCTTTCACTTTACTACACGCTTTGCCTGACCGTCGATATCTTACAATGATGTTATGGTGAGATTGCTTTTGGATTAGTTAGGGTTTCCGTTATACTACTAATTAGTTTTAGTGGATAGATCTTTAATGATTATGATATTGAGTTTTTAGCTTTTTAGGTTGTTTTTCTTGCACTTTATAGGGAAGTGGATGACGTGGACTTCCGATGTATTCGTATTAGTACTTTTTCTAGTATTACCTCCTTTGGTATCACTTTTTTGTTTTCAGTTTCCACTATTGCTTTTGGAATTTGCTGAAATTGTTTCGATCATTTGGTGCCGATGTATTGTTTACTTGTGGAGGCATGGGTAATTACTTGCATTTCTTGATTTATCAGTTCCAGAAGATTGTGGCCGGCCGCTGAGGGGGCAGTTATAGTATATGTTCATGATACGAGGTTCAAAATGATAGGATCTTTGCTTACTAGAACCCTCGCGTAAGCAATTCTTGAATTTGTATTGGCTCCTACGTTTAAGATTTATGTTTATTATCTTGTGAGCAGGATGATAGTTCATTAAGAAGAATATGAATCCTGAATTAACTGCATTTCCTTTTGTAGATTGGTTCTTGGATATGCTTATCCAGCATATGAGTGCTTCAAAGTTGTGGAATTGAATCGCCCAGAGATTGAGCAGCTACGGTTCTGGTGCAAGTATTGGTAAGTCTTCGATGCACCCATGAAAAAAATTGCTTTTGCTGACCACCGTGTGGATTATGAGGATCGGATCTGATAGATAAGCTAAACATTTTTTCTCAATTTTGCAGTTTTGATTCATTTCATTCAATCATGAGCACAATAAAATGTTATCTTTAATATCAGTTAACTTATTGCAAAAAATTCATTGATATGGATCAACAACTTGTTTGGTGACATTGGATTCTTCCTTTGTTTCTTTGAACTATACTAAGAATTATTATAATTGATGGTGATTGTTTGACTCCTTTTGATTATATTTCTTAGGATATTAGTTGCTGTTCTAACAGTTCTTGAGAGGGTTGGAGACACTTTCATCTCATGGTATGATATGCATATATCTAATTGTTCATAGCATTATCTTTTTCTTGATTGTTTTTCACTTTTAAGTACAGTTTTGCATTGTTCTTTGCTGAAGGTTGCCGATGTACAGTGAAGCAAAGGTGGCATTCTTTGTGTACCTTTGGTATCCAAAGACCAGGGTAAAATACCCCCCTTTCTGAACCTCTATTGCTTATCATCAATATTTAGCTCATTCAAGTTATGAAGTTTAACAGGGAGCAACTTATGTGTATGAAACCTTCTTACAACCATATGTTGCAAGTCATGAAACTGAAATTGATCGCAACCTTTTAGAGCTGAAAACCAGGGCAGGGGATTTTGCTGTGCTTTATTGGCAAAAGGTTGCAAACTATGGCCAGACTCGGGTATATGAGGTCTTGCAGTATGTAGCTTCTCAAGCACCATCACAACAGTCAAGGCCCCGAACAACTTCGGTAATTTGATTTAATATGATGAATGATTTTCTTTTGTCTTTATTATGCCTTTTTAATTATTTAACTTTTTATATCTATTCTATGGACAAAGAGAGAACTTCTACCATGTTTAAAACTTAAAGATAAAGCTCCTTTCAAAAATGGCGCTCTCTCAATCTTTTGTGAATTTATTAATTCTTTTAGTGGGAGGAGAAAGTATTTTCAATTTAAACGCTATAGGCATGATCAAATGGCAAAGTCATATCTTTGTAATATCTATTCTAATCTTGTATGCTTATTATTTATTCTTCATTATTATTATATCCTTTTCTTAATTAATATAAATATTCATTTGGAAAAGTTTTTGCCCTTGTTATTGGAAGGCTTAGATAAATTTTAAATTTAATTCAATATTTGATTGACAAAGAAAGATAATCTCTATTCATATGGAGACGGATCCATGTCAAAGTCGGGATATCTTAAATATCTTAAATTTTTTTGTTGTTTTAATGTAAAGAGAAAGCATTTTCTATTTATAGGTTAAAGCTATAAATAGAAGGGCATGTCACATCTATCTAATTTTTGCAGTACATTTAATTTAATCTAAATATTATGTACTATTTTATTTATCCTTAATTTATATATAATTATAAATAATCAAATTGAAAAGAATTTCCTCTCCTAGCTACTAAAATGCTTAAACTATCCTTAAATTAATTCTAAAATTTCAAATTTTATTCATAAGGAAGTTGTGACCCTAGTTATTGCTTCAATTTAAAAAATTATAATTAAAGTGATTATTAAATATTCTAAAATATTTAAAGGATTAAATAAAATATTAATAAAAATGATCATATATTCAAATTAATTTAATTTGGCATTTTATTGATAGAACAACAACATCAAGCCTTTATCACACTCTGTGGGGTTGGGTACATGAATCATTTTTCTCTATTGTATTCTATTAAGAGTCAAATTCTCATTTAAATTTAATAATAAAAGTTTATTTATAGTATTTTCTAATCATGTTTTTTTAGATTTACTTTTGCCTCTATTTAACATGGGCCAAATCTAATACATCTGCTCTCCTAATCGGGTCTTCAGAAGACCGACCTTTTATTTTACCAAACCATCTAAGGCAACTCTCTCTAATCTTATCTGTCATTGGAGCTACAACAACCTTTTCACGTATATGCTCATTTCGCATTCTAACTCTATGCATAAAACCACTCATCCACCTGAGCATCCTCATTTCTGCAGCTCTTAACTTAATTGTATGCTTCTCTTTTAGTGGCCAACATTCTGTGCCATAAAGCATTGCGGGTCTCACCACCATCGTATAGAATTTCTCTTAAGTTTGAGTTTTCTATTATACAACAGACCCGATGCATTACTCCACGTCAACCATACTAATAATATCCCCATCTATTTCACCATCACCCTGGACATAATGACTTGATCGTCCAAAGTCACAATCCCCCCATTAGATCTATTACTACTAAAATTACACTCAATTTATTCGATTTTAGATATACTCAAATGAAAACCTTTAGACTCTGAGGTTGACCTCCATAATTCAAGTTTACCTTCAACTCCCTCTCTAGTCTTATCAATAAGAAGAATATCATCAGCAAAAAACATACACCAGGGTACATCCTCCTGCAAATGTTTAGTAAGAATGTCCATGACTAAAGTAAAAAGATATGAGCTTAAAGTTAATCCTTGATATAATCCAACTGAAATAGAAAAATAAGTATTAATAATCCAACCTCCTTGTGTTAGAACACAAGTAACAACTCTTGCATACATATCCTTAATGACTTGAGTATAAGTATTATTAATCCCTTTCTTTTCTAAAACTTTTCATAGCACTTCTCTTGTAACTTTATCATAAGCTTTTTCTAAATCAATAAATATCATATGTATATCCTCCTTATTCTCCCTATACCTATCCATCAAACCTCTCAATAAATGTATAGCTTCCATAGTAGGCCCTAAACCCATGAATCCAAATTGATTTTAAGAAACATGAGTATCATATCGTAACCTATGCTCAATAACTCTCTCCCAAAGTTTTAAAGTATGATACATTAACTTAATTCATCTATAATTTGCATATTATTCTGCATCACCTTTATTATTAAAAATAGGAAAAAACACACTCCACTCATCCGACATCTTTTTAGTCTTCAAAATAATATTGAAAAGTTTTTTAAGCCAAGAAATTCTTTTATCTATCAAGCATTTCCACACCTCCATTGGAATATCATTAGGTCCAACAGTTTTTTCCACACTTCATTTTTTTAAGGTCTCTTTAACTTCGATTTTACTAATATGCCGATAAAAATAAAAATATATATTTTCATTCAGGGTGCTAATGTCACTAAAGTCAATCGTACTTTCACAAGCTTTATTGAAAATCTTATCAAAATATCCCATTCACCTTTGTTGAAAATTCTCTTATAATAAAAACATTTTTTGATCTTCATCCTTAATGCACTTCACTTGAACTAAATCATTACTTCTCATATCGTTTTGCTTGGTTAACTTATACATGCATCTTTCGCCCTCCTTAGTATCTAATCTATTATATAAATCATTAAAAGCTAAATTTTATTTGATAAAGGCTTGATATTATTGCTCATTAATTTTTCTTTATTCTAATTTATTGTTGATTTCTTCTGATTTAATACATCACTGCAATGTTTAAAATTGCGTATTAGGGTATTGAGGCGTTTTTCATTCGTGAGGCGAGGCGTAAGCCTCAAGGAGTTTTGAGGCGTAAGTCTCAAAATCAAAAGATTGCGTAAACATAAAATGATAAATTTTTTATATACTAATGAGTGAATAATATAAAACATAAAAAAAATATAAGATATGAAGTGAAATCAAAATATCCCAATAATAAGACAACATGAAATATAGTTCAACTCAAAATTCTATCTTTCCCAAATCCCAGTATTCTTTTCATTAACATATAATTCTAATTTTCAAAAATAAATAACAATGACATATTACATAAGAACTCATAAGTCATCAGCACTGTCATCACTAAGGGGTTATTCATTTGAATCATCATTATGATGAACTGCTCTCTCCCTTCCTCCTCTCCTATAGAGTCCAATGTCGGACATTTACTTCAAGATTTATGTAAGTTTTAATATATATAGCGTGATGTGTAAGCCTCATGCCAGTGAGGCCAGGCGGGCCTCAACCAAGTTGAGGCGCAAGCCTCATAAAAAAAACTCGAGGCGTAAGCATCGATGCATTTTTTACTGGAATTGCGGAAAGGCGGGCCTCAAGGCGAGCCTCATATTGCTCAATTTTAAACCATGCATCACTGTGTTATTTTTTTAGTTCAATTTCTCATATTTCAGGTTTATATTAATGAATGTGAATTTTTATATAGTTAATTGTCTTTGATATGCGAGTCCTTATTTCTTTTGTATGGTTTACATTCTTGTTGACCTCTCTGTAAAGAACCAAAAGAAGAAAAAAATCATTACGTACCTTAGCTCTGTCGAATCCTTGAAATCCCGCTAAAATCCTCGTACTCGTCGAATCACTGAAATCTCGTTGAGATGCTGCGTAAATCCCGTTGAACCCTAATCAATCGCACTATTCTCTTGAGTTTCCTGCGAAACTTTGCTCGAGCTCATCGTTAAAACAGGAACGAAGGAGGTTCATTTGTTGGATTCTTCGGTTCCACACTTGCCTCCTTACCACGCTAAACTCTCGCAAAAAAAATCTCCACACAAAACCCCCATTCACTACTTTCCTCCAACCTTACGAACTTTTCCCCACGACCAAACCATTTGAGCTCCCGTCGTTGCTTCCGACCCGACCTTCACTACCGACCAAGCTCTAAGATCGACGCCAAACTTCCTAACTTTCAACTCTTCCTCTTGATCTCCAGTCACCTAAAGCCAAACCTACCTTCAACGTTCCTTCCCAATCCAGCCTCTATCTCCTGCTTTGATCCACACCATCGACCACCTGTAGTCGAAGACCCTAAGATCCAAGCTCGGAACTCCATCCTCAAGATCTGAAGCCTCACCCGACTCATGTTGTCGAACCTTATGATCGGAATCCCAGAGCAATCCCGATCGAACTCTTTGCTCATATCAAACCCAACAAGCTGCATCTACCTCTCCTTACAATCGTCCGACGCCTGCAATCTTCGACCAAGCCTCCTGCCCTAGATCCTTCGACCGGAAGCCCCCAATAGCCCGACTTCCTTCCTCCAAATCTCCAACCCGACAGCCCCAAGCAAATCTACATCTATCTACACCTTAACCGAGCCCTATCTCCACTACATACCTAATAATATAGCCCAGCCCACTGTAAACTTAAAAGCCCAACTTAGTTCTCTCAATTAACCCACTTCTAAAGCTCCAACCCAAGTCTACAACCCACAACTCCACCTAACAGCTCATCAAGTTTTCCTTGATCCAAATCATCCAACTCAAATAGTCCACCTCACCCAAACTAGCCAAAACCCCAAAACAGTAAGATTATGCTTCCTCTTAATTTTGTTTTAGTATCATTATTAATGTTAGTTGCTAATATTACTTATTGTAAGTGATTTTGTCAATATCCCCAAGTAGTTAACAGTGTTAGTCGTTTACATCATTACTAATAATTATTAAGCTTACTAATAATTTCTTGATCCAAATCATCCCACTCAAATAGTCCACCTCACCCCCTCACTATTCAGAGCCAATATGTTTCTTAGTGGCATCAAATCCTTAAGATATGAATCAATAGAATATGCTCGATAGGGCACAAAGCCCTTCGTCAGCTAAGGTGGATTCAAAATTTTCCCCTTAGACAAACATCCAACCTAGGTCTACAAGGTGCCCTTGGACGAAGCAACTCATGGCTACCGACAAGGATCTTTCTGTCAGGTTGGGTCGACTAACTCCTCTTACTAAGTAGACCAGGGAACACAATGGCCCGAGATGACGGAACCATGAGATCTTTATCAGGTCCATCATCCATTCCCCGATCATTCTCTTTAAGTGCAAGATGGTGAAATTTCTAATTTTAAATGTCAAACTTTTAAATTTTCTAAGCCCAATGCTGCTACTATATGCCAGATAATATGTATTTCTACGTATCTGATTGACGACTAGCCTTAATCGAAAGTTCTCTCTCGTTATCCGGATGGATAATTAACTATAGGGGCTTGTGCCTATAGAAAACTAGAACTCAGATCATAAAGTCCTCGCAAAATGAGGGCGAAATTTCTGGATAGTGTATTATCTACAAACTCATCTGCCTTCCCAAAATTTACCCTGGAACTTAATCCGTTAAAACTCACCCGAAGAAAAGCAGCAGGCGGAGGCCGGGGCCGAATTTTCGGAGACCCCAATTCTTATCATCATTTTAGTTGTATTTCAAACCCTAGACTCTTCAGCATTATACATCAAGGTGGGAAATTTTTTAAGGTTTTTATTTAAAGCTATCAATAGGGGGGGAAGTGAAGAGTTTCAAATTAGGGAGGATGTCTGCCGTAGGTCAAAAAAGGAGTTTTATCAAGAAGAGAAGGCTATCAATAGGGGGGGGGGTGGGGATTGATGGGGGGTGGGGATTGATAATGGGAGCGGTGAGAGAGAAGGCTTTTGATAGGAAATACTTGAGTTCGCAACCTATGATGCACAAACACGGACACGGCGACACAGATACGACACGACACGGATACGGGACACGTCAGTTATTGAAAATATAGGACACGGACACAGGTTGGACACGGTATTATATTTTTTATATTTAAAAAATAGTGTATAAAAATTAAATAAGTATAATTTTAAAAAATAATTTAAAAATGTAAGTCATTTAACTGAAATTTGTGCTTAAAATGATTAGTATTAGGATGTCGAGAGTTAGATGTCGATGTCGTTTATTAGTCACCTAGAGAGGAGATGAAAATACCTTCACTGTCAAAAATAAATAAAAATGAGAATATTCGATGATTAGGTATTAAGTGCGGACGTTGATTTGGTGTCGTGGATAGGAAATAAGAAATTTAGTTTAAATCCCGTCAAATACAAGAAATTATATTTTAAAAAATTCATAAAATATTTAAGATAGGCGTGTCGGACACGCGTGTCCAATTTGTATTTAATACACGTTTTCGATGTGTCCGACACGTATCGGAGGAGTGTCGGGCGAGTGTCGTGTCGGATACGGTGTCGGACACTGCACGCCTCTTTGAGGAGAAGTGTTGGTGTATCATAGTTCGCAAGTAACCCTAAGGGAATACTTGAGTTCGCAAGCACACCTATCACTAATTGGAAGAAAACAGCGGGAATAAAGCAAAATCTGGGCGAAATCAACCCCAAAACAGTGGATTGCAACAACGAAAATAAAACAAAATTAACACAAAGCAAGATACAAGTGATCCTCTATTCGAGAGGATGATCGTTCTCTCCCAATCTCTAGACGCAAGGTCTAGAGCCCTCAAACCTCAAAAGACTCTAAAGAGGAACTCAAATCTAAGCATACCTACCTTAGCCCCTCCATGCCCATTAAATAGCCCTCTCCACCTCCTTAAAACTCCACCTCCTTAAAAACTTCTTAATATAAGATATTATTTAATTAATATAAAAGATATCAAATCTTTTAATTAATTAAATCCAACTTCTTAAAAACTTCCTAATATAAGATATTATTTAATTAATACAAACGATATCAAATCTTTTAATTAATTAAATCCACTTTCCTAATATAAACTAATTTCAAAATTTCTTCCCCTCTCTCCTATTGCCGCCTCAAGGGGGCCTACAAGCTGTGCGGAAACACATCAAGGAGGCGGCTTAGCCCGCCTCTTGTAGAACTGGACCGGCCCCTCCTAGGCCAGTTTGATTGGTTCCGTAACAGCTTTCAAACAAGGCAAGGAGAGAAGATAGAGGAAAGTTAAAAGGGGCATCTCAATATTCAATAATAAGCAATTGTCTTTTACGCACCTAGTGCTATATATATATATATATTAGCCTCTTATTCAAGAAATAAATATATGTTAGAATTGTAAGATAATGCCGAACTAATCCTAATGATAAATAAAGCTTTCCTCTTGATATTTTAAGTAAAAACATTAACAGTTTATTAATGCTTAATGAAGCATTACATCTTGCAGTTAAAAGTGTCGTGTTACCTCATCATAGAAATCACGGGAGTGGTGGCCAGCCAGCTAATTCCATTAAATGTATTGGCCTGTCACAGCGTTTTCCTTATCCTTTTTATTGGAGTTATGATTGACAAATTGGATGAGTCATTCGATTAAGTTTCTAACAACTTAACTACTTTTAAAGTAAACAAAGTAGTTGTTATATCTTATATTTTACAATGAGATTCATGGAAATCTGATGGAAATTTATTTTACGTAATAGTTTCATTACTCTTTTCTTTTTTCCTCTCTTTAGTTGGTCCCCTTCTCTATTTTTTAGGTGTTTGACCTCTCTCTTCTCTCAGTCAAATTATGGGATCATGGTAGGGAGGAGGAACCATGAATAACCAAGAGGAAAACCAATCAAAATGTTCTCTCATATGTCTTCAACAAGTCTTGGTTGAATTCCAATCAAGGAGATGAAGGATGGTCAAGCTTTAATAGAAGATCTTTTCCTGTCTGGTCATAGTTCTATTCAAGCTCTCTTTCAATCAATCTCTCCAATTCACTCTCCCAGATTTTACGGTAAACTCTTTCTAATCCCTTGGAAACCATCTCATTATTCCCTATACCCTACATCCAATTTAGGTTGGCATAAATCGGACACCAGCTTCAAATTATTACCATTTTTACTTCGGTTACGTTTGCTAATAAAACATTATAAACTCTTGAGCTAGGTTTGAGGGAGGAAGGAATACTCTATTCTATCTTAGGCTTAGATCACTAACATTTTGATTGAGAGAAGGATCACTAAATCCCTTTATCTCAATTCGGGTTTAGATGAATAGCGTGACAAATGATTATATAAGAGAGTGTGAGAATAAAACACTTTTTGAAAAAAATAGTAGTAGAAAGTAGACTTAGGTGGTTTTGACATGCATTAAAAATATAAAATAAGATGGATTTAATGAATTTATGTGGAAAGATCAGTTAGGAGAGAAGAGGATATCAAGTAACATTGGCTAAGCTGTGCACAACATTGTAGAAAAATCTGTACAAATTAAAGATTAACTGAAATAAGGGCCTAGCGAGGATTCATAAAACTGAATCCAAATAATGACTACTGCTAATGATAATGATGTTCTTACAACAACAAAGACGACAACTAAAATGAATCTTTTTTCTCCTTTGTGTTCTGTTAAGAGTCAAATTCTCATTTATATCTAATAAGAAAATATCGTTTCTAATATTTTCTAACCAAATCTTTTTAGGTCTACATCTAATTTCTTCTCATAATAGTTTTATGTGTCAAAACCATCTAAGGCAACTCTCTCTAATCTTATTTTCCACTTACTCCAACATTTTCACATATATTCTTGTTTTGCATTCCATCTTAAAGAATGAAGCCACTCATCCACCTGAGCATCCTCATCTCCATAACACTTATCTTACTTTTATGCTTCTCTTTTAATGGCCAACATTCTGTGCCATAAAGCATTATAGGTCTCATCACCATCTTATAGAATTCACCCTTAAGTTTGAGGGGTGATTTTCTATCATACAACAAGCCTGATTCCACTTCAACCATCTAATTTGAATTTTATTAATAATATCCTCTTATATTTCACCATCACCTTGAACAATAGACCCGAGATATCTAAAACGTATACTCTTATAATAAAAAAATAAAAATAAAAACAAATGCCTGCATGGCATGTAAATCACTATCATATTGGTAGGATTTGTGCGCTTGGAAGCATTGGAGTTCATACTTATGTTACGGTGCATTTGGTGCATTCAGAGCTGAAGTTCTAAATCAGACAAATGCTGTGTATTGCTTTGAATTAACAAGTTATGAGAGCAGCAAATCAAGATTCTTGGTCATATTTTGAGAACTTGAAGATTGTTTATTTGAGCTTTCTCTTCATACTTCGGATAATTCAATATCTTGTAATGAGATGTCTCAATTTAATGATTAATTATAATAATAGTCACCTTTTGAAAACCTGATTTGCTTGTTCTGCCAAATGGAAGCTTCTTGTTATTGGTTCTACTCAATTTATATTCTTCATGCAACTGCATCTCTTTAACCATTGCTTATAATCCCTATATATCATGTATTGATCTACAATAGAATCAATTAACTTTTGTTTCAGAGTCACTCAGCCTTTATTACTCGTGTAATTTTACTTTGTCTTAATTCAACAATTTTATGACGCTTTCATGAGAATTAATTGATATTTTCCATTGCTACAGCAGAGGCAACCATCTCACCAAAGTAGACAAACACCAGCAACAGAATTACAATCACCTGCTCCTCAAGCAGCAGCAGCAGCAGTAGCTCAGACACAGCAGCCTAATCAACCACCTTCCAGTCCCACCAAAAGGGTTGATCAAGAACCTATAAAAACTGGAGGTGGCCCTTCTGCAGCCCCAACTCCTTCCCATACCCACTCATCATCGGCCAATAGCACACAACCTACTGCTTCAGAAAATACATCTAGACCATCAATAAATGGGGAAGTAAACCAGATTGCTGCTTCAACAGCTTCCTCTGCCGCCAATGCTCAACCTGAGGATACACCTATGGAAGAGGCTATTCGCGTGACACGTGGAAGGTTGAGAAGGAAAGCTGCCTCTATCGTCCCCCCTTCTGCTCACTAGCCTGAAACAGTCACCCTCTCACTGGTATCCTAGTCAACATCCTCATTTTGAATATTGACCTTAAATTTTACAGAGGTATGGTCTGCAATTGCAGTTCCATCCTTTGTATCATTCTTCCTAAAATAGACATCTATGGAATGTGTTGGTAAGCATGTTGATCATATCTCTAATCCTGAAACTAAACTATAGGAGTGTTTAAATTGCAATTTCAAATCGATCTTTAGTATTTTTGATGCTATATAATTAATTTTTTAGATAAAATATTCTAGCTTGGAAATGGGTTAAAGATGGTGTTCCATCCCAGGTGGCAAACTTGTTTTACCGGTAGTTCTCTTGATGATATTTGGAATGTTTTTAATGATTTTTTTTAGTAAATTATGAATATAACTAGATTTTTTGTTTTAGCCTCTTTCAACAGCAACAGCTTCTATGCCTTTCAAAAAGGCTTCAGCACTTCTGCAGACAATTCTAATTTAGCACTATTGAAGAAAATTGTACATCCATGGAGGTATGATCCCAAAGTTTAGGGCTATTAACGGCTGTACACAAATGAATGATGTTTTTTCGAGTTTGCTTTGTTTTTGTTATTGCTTGAAATCTTTATATTTTTAATCGGTTCATTATTGTTTGACTTCTTTGTTGTTCATGCGGAGCCAATTTTTTAAGATAAATTATTCACGAGAGATGATAGAGTACTTTATTTAAATACAAATATTTGATTGATCTGTTTTCTGTGGGATGTGAAAATGTTTTTGAGGTAATATATTAATGTAAAAATCTTCAGGGAGGTGATGTTACTTTTGAGAGATTTCATGTTGTCTTATTAACTCTGAGATGCCATGTAATATTTTCTAAGTTTTTGTGATATTTTTTGACTCCAAATCATTGGTTATTTTCATTAAGAAGGAAGGATTTGACATCTTACCATCATAAGCAAATGGTGAGATGGAGTGAGGGTCGCGGTTGCCATACTGAAGAGGGGGGTATTTTCTAGTACAGAAGAAAGTGGTATTGCTTGTTCGATTCCCTAAATTTTTATTTTTGTTTTTTTGAGACCGTTATAGATAGAATTGCTTGTAGCATAGAACGTAAGATAATGATGGCATTAATAATAATATTACCTTATACACGTCAACCATATTCTTTTTAGTAGGTGATTGCATTTACTCAAAGTCATTGATCTCTTAGGGGTGTTAATATATGTCACAACCTGAATGCTCTATCAGAATCCAATTAAAATTTTTTGAGATCAGGTAGATCCATTTAACCAATTAGTTGGGTTTAGATAAACGCACGAACTTGAAATCAACCCTTTTTAACCCGACTTAGCAGTTGCTAAACCCCCATCCCCATGCATGACTCCAATGACTCTTCTTACGGTATCAACATTTGATTCCTCCTCTCAATTATCGTCTTTGTCATCGGCGCCACCATCTTCCTTCGACCCATCCTCTCCTTCGCCGCTTGATGCTCCCCTACCGACGAGCTTGTCAGAGAATCCTTCATTCGTGCCATTCTCTCCATTGTCCTTGATGTTAGGTTCATCATCGATGCCATCGGCATCCGTGCCCACTTCGGTGGTTTCTTAGTCGGTGCCCTTGTGCCAAAAGAAGAATCTTTTGACATTGTCCTCATAGAAAAGTCTAGCCTCGAACTAGCACCCATCGGCCTCGCTACAGTCTCAACTCTTGACACTACTCTCCAAGCTTCTCAGCACTCCACACGCAACCAAGTTAAAGCTCGAGCACCACAAGGCTGCCACACCCCCACCGACCTTTTTACCACAACATTTCACACCCGAACCCAACTCTTTCTTGCTTTTTTATTCTAAATTGGTTGGCGGGTCGTGTCGGGTTAAACTGGTTGACGATGGATCATAGTTGTCAATGGCGCAAAATAGTGCGCGCCATGGCGCACGGTGCGGCGCAACTACGGCGTCATGTTCATGGCGAGACGCATGTGTTTAAAATAGCGCGCGCCGCACCTACGGCGCCATGTTCATGGCAAGGCACATGTGTTTAAAATAGCGCGCGCTATTTACGCCACATGTGAGCCATGGCACATGGCGCACGGCACACGTCGCAAAATAACGCGCCAAATTGTTTAAATGTGATGTCCACCTCTTAAAATTAAAAAAAAAATGCTTGGTACTGCTAGGTACATGCTCGGTACCGCTATGTACCTTCTTGGTATCACTAGGTATCTTTCCATACAAATGACTTACGAACTTTAAAAATAAGCAGAACTTCAAAATTATTCTTACAAATAAAATTTGTTCTGGGGGCAGGTGCTGCCCCTTGACCCCCCACAAAAGTGCATGTTTTGTATAAGTTTTCTTCATGAGCGCATGCTTTGATTAAGAGACATTGGACTCTATAGGAGAGGAGGAAGGGGTGAGAACTTTAAATGTGAATTCTTGTCTCTGGAACAAAATTATTGTGAAATATAAAGTTTGCGTCATGTTGGACAATATAATTTCATATTCTTGCTTATTATTTTATAATTCTTATATAGTTTACGACATGTTCAAAATGGTGCGCGCCGCGCCATGCGATATGCGCCATGGATCCAAAGGTTCACCAAAGCATAAAGTAAAAGACCAAAGAAATAATCCCAAAGTTCATATAAAGCCCTAGGCTGAAACAATAGGATTTTTTTCATAAAAAAGCTCATTATGCGCAAAGCTTTAGATCGATGATCTCCCTCCATCAACCAAATATAAAGCCTAAAGAGCTTAGGTCAAAGCTGAAGCAAAGGCCAGATGGTATGTAAATCTCCTGACAAGTTAGTAAACACAAATCATGTCATCCTCCATTAAGTGCGTTGCACAAAGCACATAGCATAAGGAACCAAAATCTCAAAATTGAAACTAAAGCTGTAAAAAGAGTACTTTGAATGTCATCTACAAGTGTGCCTAAAGACTGAGAGCATTTCAAATATTTATTTGAGTAAGCATCACACCACGTGCCGAGACCCCCAAATAAATATTTAAAATTTATATATAAAATGCAGCTGAAGGAGGGAAGAATGAAAGATCCTCAGTAAACTAAGTGTATAATCATCATAAAGTACATGCTGGGCAAGATACAATCAGTAAATGAGGCAGCAAAGTCCCGCTAACTGATGAATCTACAAAGCTCGAGTAAATTTTGAATAACACCGACAATTATACAGCAGAAATATTACATCCCTATATAATTATGACAAAGAAAGACATTGAGCCATTATGAATGGGCTAGAAGCTAAAGTGACGGTGGTAGAATGGAAAATAGATACTGAAATCTACTAACATCGACTTATAAAAATTCACGAAGATAACTAGCGTGACATCCAAACAAGTTCTTCGAGATTTGCTAAATGAAAGTCTCAGCGTGACATCCAAGTAAACTCTTAGAAATTCGCTAGAGGAAACCATCGGTGTGACATCTAGAACAAATATCTAGACATTCACAGGGTCAATTAGCATGCAACAAATGTGGTTCGCTCTAGATGTATACCACATTTGTTGGAGGGCATTTGTTAACCTGTATACAGAATACGAAACGAAAAAAACCCGCTCAAATTGTATACCAGTTTGACTCCATTCTCCTCTGCATGTCGCAATCATCCATGAAATCACGCAGATCTCTCGATTCGGATGTCCTACGCCATCTTGCGCACGTCGACGCCTCTCCCCTTCGCACGACGCCTCGATCTTGGTCGTATACTTGCGTTAAAACGAGATCAAAGGAGGCTGCCGGCTATTTTCTTCTTCTACTCACATTCTTCCTCCCACAGCTTTTCCTTGTTCGCCTCCTCCAAACAGCCTAAGCTTCCTCTTCCTTATCCATCTCGCACGACCACCTCTGACCTTAACTTGCCGCAAGCCTCAACCTCCCATTTCCCTACCTCCTTCATTGTGCCAAAGCATTGCTCTCGGCGACCCACACATCTCCACCTCCTTCGGCGACGTTTTCTCATGTTGGATTGGAAGCCATGATTGGAGCTTGCTCATTATTGAGGTAGTCATCCTCCTCCCTTTTGTCCGCTTCTTTAGCCAAATCCCATAAATTTGCCGAGCTGAATGGGGAGATTGAGGATTTAACTAGTTGTGAGATTTAACAGTTCCCTAAATCCTGTTCAAATTTTGCATAAATCCTGTTCAAATCCTACATAATTTCTGTATCCAAACAATCATGTATAAATCCTTTTTTAATCAAAGTTAACTATAATTAATAACTATTAATTATGATTCATTATCATTAGTTATAATTAATTATTAAATAATTATAATCAATTATTATTAATAATGATTAATTATAATTAATTAATAAAAGAGAAAAGAAATGTGCTTCGAGCCTCGTGCATCATTGACATCGACCTCAACCTCGACCAAGTCTTTGACATAAATATCATTGTCGTCGTAGTTCCAACACAACCCAACTGACAACATAATTATCAACCCTTGCGCAGGTATAAAATTTCAAACCATGTCCTCGATGCTTACAGCGTGGCGAGCAACCACCCATTCGTACTTTTCTTAGCATGGTAGGAGGAAACTCGCTACAGTGCTTGCGACAAGACATGTAATTCTCGTGTGCGCTTTTCTTAGCATGGCAGGGTAAAGTTTAAGTACCCATACACGCCTCAGTACCAGTGAAGAAATAATTGTGCATTTTCAAACAGGTACTCATGAAGACCTATGCACGCCTTTCTTGGTGCGGTGGAATTGAAGTATACGGTGGCAATGTCATACAACGGTGACCGTGCACGTCTTTCTTGATGTGGAGGGAAAGCTATGACTCTCCAAATTTCTCCCAAACGGGGGCTATGACGGGATGCTGTCAAAATTTAGAGTGAGAATGCACAAAAAATTGAATGAATAACAGGGGACCTAATTCAAGTTAAACAACAGGGAACAAAATCCTAATTTCTGAAATGCATAATAAACTAAAAAATGCAAATCCTAAAATACGATTCCAGTCATTCAAACAAATATGCGTGAATGAATAGCAGGAGACTCATGATGAATAAAACCTCGATGCACACAGACAATGAATGATAATCAATCTACAACATCTAAACAATTACAAATAAACATCAATCATCAACACCTGTGAATATACGAGACACAACAAATGATGTTGATGAATGCATGATAAATGCCACATACTCCTACAAGAGGCCCTGTGCTGTTGAATGCACTATACTTGCAAGCAACAACAGTCGGTTGTAGAATGCATTGGTGCCTCCCACGTGCATCAATGAAAGGCTTAATTCAAGCAACAATTCGCCTATATATCAAAATAGTGTCGTTTACAAGCAATAACGGAAGACCTACCATACATGCAACAACTCACATAAAGACAATATGCACTAAATGTAATAATGCCTCGTAGTTAACATTAATAGCTTGTATACAACCTGTCACTATAAATAAGTACACCAGGCCACCTGTGAATGATGAGAGTGGATATGATGCAAATACATGCAGCATGCAACAAACATTAGGATGTCTATGCAACCGACAACTGCGATACCCGAACAAAGTACAAGGGACGTGTGAACAAATAATCACCCATAAATGATGATTAATTGATGTACAAATCTCATGTTTGTGGAAAATGCACGATGGTTGCAATATATGAGTGAAAGACGAACAACCTACAATGAATGATGCAATATCTCTACAAAAGCAATGTTAGT